AAATTTCGATTTCATCCATGACCTTTTTAACATCCATCGCACTAGTAATTCGTATGAAATGCGAACAAAAAAAATCAGATACAGAATCCGACAGGTCTAGTATTTTAGTGGCGACATTGACTCCATATCGCATAATTTAATAGACCTAGTCAGCTGTAAGCTGTGACGACTAAATTTTTTTTAAAAAAATTTTAGTCTTGCCACAATACGCATTTCACACGTTTTTAAAAAAAAAAAATGCTGACGTCAAAGATAACTATAATTAAATAAAATTTGATGTTGTGTACTCCAACATATCTAACATATGCTATACATACCTTGAAATACCCTGACGAATATTGATTTTAATTAATATAGTTCGAACTATATTAATTAAAATAAATTTAAATTATTTTTCCGAACCGCATGAAACACATTTTATTAAAAACAAAGCATAATCAAAACAAAAATAGAAAAAATGAGAAATGTCATTTATTAATTTGTTTTGTGCATTTCGGTTGATCGCCAAAAATTGCAGCGGATAATAGAAAAAAAGCTGCGAGTGTAATTTAAAGCTTTCAGAAGTCAACAACAGAATACCTGATGAGGGGAAATGTTGAGGGTATTGACCGAACAACGGCTAGCAAAAAAGTCCGCTCGACGCAGTTAGAAAAAAAGGAGAATAAAAGGCGCAAGCGGAGGAGTTTTCGGTCTCTTGGCTCGTGGTTAAGTTGAACGCAACGCATCGTACCGGTGGTGTTAATTACTTAGTTTTTTTTTTATTTGTCCATATATAGAAATAATTTATTCAAAAATTATTTATATACTAAATTTAGATTTTTACAACTTTAGTTATTTTTTTGTAAAATTAAAAATTGCTTAAGAGCATAAAGTATCAAATAAAACTTTGATTTTATTAATAAAAATTTATTTTGGTGCTATTTTCTTAGCCAACTTTTGCATCTCGGGATAATAGTGTTAATAGCCACAGTATAAAAGAAATAGTTGACGGCTTTAACAGTGGTCAATTAAAAGATTTTGTACTGGTGCTCGTTCGAACGTATAAACGTGTTGACACCACAAGCAAAAGACGTGGCGCGGCTTGGGTGTCTCTTTGTCTCCGATACGTGGCAAAGTTTAAATTGATTGGCGTTTCCTGATAATCATCGCTGGACGTTGTAAGCAGCCCTGATGTACCAGAAAGGGTAAGACTTATATATGTATAAAATACAGTGCAGATTTTCGCGTAAGTAACTTCAATGTATAAGCGTGAATTTATAAGCTATTTTATTTAAATCGGACGAATTGCTTAAAAATTAACAAATTCCAAATTGTATAATTGAATATCTACAAATTTTACTCATTTAAATGGAAATGAGAAAAGTAACAACAAGGCAATCACAATCGTAAAGGCTTCAAGTTAAGCGCATAGGAGCATAAACTTTCTAAACACAACAAGCTCATGAATTATTAGTTCTTATGAAATAGAATCTATGAAAAAAAAAATGTATCTTTGTAAAAATCGAAATTAAACAACTGAAAACAAGATATTTGTGAAAAAAAAATGTATTCTGTTATATGCAAACATAATCTTAATTAATTATAAAGTGTAACATTAAAAATTTAATTACTTAATCCACATTTAAGGAATGTAAAAATATTACATAAAATTCTAAGTGAAATACCAAAGTAATCTTCACACGACTACGCTTAATAGAAATTCTTCTTCCCTTATATTTTTATTTAAAAACATTTTATGAGTTTTTGAAGTGAAAACTTCTTATGGCGCGTTAGGCACTTTTTGGGTGAGCATTTTCAGCCGATCTGACAGATGAGATTTTACACAGATATACTCCGCGGGTATTTGTATAATATATGTATACTATACGCGCTCTTTGCATGGGCATTCGTTCGTGCTCTCGCGACAGACGAGATTACATACCTATATGTGTATTCAGAGTGTATAGGTATGCGAGAGCGCTGCATGCTATACGCAGTCTTTGCATGGGCATTCGTTCGTGCTCTCGCGACAGATTATTGCTATGCTACTGCTATCGCTCTCACTTTGACGAGAGCCATAGCAGAGCAGAGCACATCAAATTTAGTTGAGTCAAATTTAGTGTGTCTGCATTGTATGTCTGCATTGTGTGTCTGCATTAGTATGTCTGTTTTTGTGTGTGTGTTAAACAACAACGGCGGGAGCCGTTGCACATGAAAAAAAAAAAATGATCTGCTCTGCTCTCATCTCGCTATCATTTTTTTGCTGATTTCATCATCATCATTTTTCAAACCCTGATTTAAATATTTCATTTGACTTGTGTTGCTGCTATGGTATTGTGTTAAAAAAACAAAAAAAAACAAATCTAAAGTGTTAATAGAATTAATAAAAACATTGTTGTAGTGCTTTTGTATACTATAGTGTTATATTTTGTATACATTATTACAACTGCTGCTCGTCATCACTTTATATTTCAACTTTATAGCAAGTTTCAAAAGAGACAATCGTCCAGCAGGTGGGGTGGCTATTTATCATCGGTCCAATGATACTATGGCCACATTTTCTACAGATCATATGGAAGTGCATGCGAGATATACCAGTATGTTTAGCACTAATGTTTCGAATATTGGTGATATATGTATTTCCTAATGCCATTCTAATGGACAAACAATAATAATGGCTGCCGTTTATATTTCACCAAAACAGTCTTTACAAGCAATACGAGAGTTCTTGTATTCAAATTTATTCATTTATTCTAAAGCTGCTTCCGCAATATTTATGATGAAAATTAATAGAAGATTTGATCATTATACTATGATTTTGAGTGGAGATTTCAACATAAACTTTGCAGATGTCAAAAATCAATCATTAATTGAATTTTTATATCAAGAATTTGATTTAACGATGTCCAATGATCGCAATCTTAGCACAACAAAATACAAAACTACTATTGATGCAGTATTCACAAGATATATAAATAGATTTAAATCAAAATTGTTTATTTCATACTTTAGTTACCATAGACCTATTGTATCAGTTTTAGAATTTGATGAAAATCCTGATAATAATGATGAAAATGCTGATAATGATGATGTAAGAGTTGTTGAAATTATGGATGAGAACTGATAAATTTTGTATTTACTATTTACTAATATTTACTCATTTAAATAAAACCACTTCCTTCGAATATAGTTTCTATATTATTATACTTATTATCCACATTGCTTGGATAAACTTGATTTTTTATGTACAATTTCTCATGTCGCGAGCGCACCTAAAAATGCTCACCCAAAAAAGTGCCTAACGCGCCATAAGTTCAAGTTTTCACTTCTGCCTGCACTCCCGGAGTGTTTTTCTCGGTTTTTATTTGTCCATATATAGAAATAATTTATTCAAAAATTATTTATATACTAAATTTAGATTTTTACAACTTTAGTTATGTTTTTGTAAAATTAAAAATTGCTTAAGAGCATAAAGTATCAAATAAAACTTTGATTTTATTAATAAAAATTTATTTTGGTGCTATTTTCTTAGCCAACTTTTGCATCTCGGGATAATAGTGTTAATAGCCACAGTATAAAAGAAATAGTTGACGGCTTTAACAGTGGTCAATTAAAAGCTTTTGTACTGGTGCTCGTTCGAACGTATAAACGTGTTGACACCACAAGCAAAAGACGTGGCGCGGCTTGGGTGTCTCTTTGTCTCCGATACGTGGCAAAGTTTAAATTGATTGGCGTTTCCTGATAATCATCGCTGGACGTTGTAAGCAGCCCTGATGTACCAGAGAGGGTAAGGCTTATATATGTATAAAATACAGTGCAGATTTTCGCGTAAGTAACTTCAATGTATAAGCGTGAATTTATAAGCTATTTTATTTAAATCGGACGAATTGCTTAAAAATTAATAAATTGTATAATTGAATATCTACAAATTTTACTCATTCGAATGGAAATGAGAAAAGTAACAACAAGGCAATCACAATCGTAAAGGCTTCAAGTTAAGCGCATAGGAGCATAAACTTTCTAAACACAACAAGCTCATGAATTATTAGTTCTTATGAAATAGAATCTATGAAAAAAAAAAATGTATCTTTGTAAAAATTGAAATTAAACTGAAAACAAGATATTTGTGAAAAAAAATGTATTCTGTTATATGCAAACATAATCTTAATTAATTATAAAGTGTAACATTAAAAATTTAATTACTTAATCCACATTTAAGGAATGTAAAAATATTACATAAAATTCTAAGTGAAATACCAAAGTAATCTTCACACGACTACGCTTAATAGAAATTCTTCTTCCCTTATATTTTTATTTAAAAACATTTTATGAGTTTTTTTTATAAATTTTGTTGTATTTAAGTGAACACAAAAATGCATTTATAAAACGTTAAACTTAAAATATGATTAATTAATATTATTTTTTTTTAAAAAAAAATTGAAATCAGTTAAATATTATTTGCTTATTATTATTTACGAGTAATTGTAAATATATTATTTGATAAATTGTTTTTTTTATTTAAAATACATTGATTGTTATACATATATTACCAATTGTTCAATAAAGAAAAAAACTTGAATGCGAAAATAATTACTTTGTTGTACGACATCTTACTTCAACGGTAGAAACGACATTAGTTGAACGCTGGGTCCCCGCGAATAGAAATTTTCTTGTAAGACCTTGGACTAGGCTGAGAACTACCCCGGCTAGGAAAAATTAGGTCCATTACAAAGCAGTAAGCAATAATCCGCGTGATGTCATGATATTCCAAATTGTATATGGTACAGTAACAGCTTTGGTAGGATTTACAAGCAACATTGTCTATAAGTATAAATTAATATTTTATTGACTTCTTTTTAATTAAAAATTAGTTTGAGTTTAAATAGTTAATAAAATTATTACAATCATGATTTTATATAGATACTTAGGTGTGGTTAGGTAGTAGCTTAGGTGAATAAAAAGGAGGGTAAATAATATAAAGAGATAGAATCTTTATAGTATACACATTAGACTGTTTTCACACCTATTTCTTATATTGTTTAGAGCACTATTTGTGGTCAGTATTCATTTATTATTCATTTAAATAATAAATAATGAGCCACATTATTTTTATTATTTAACAAGACTAATTCGGTATATACTTTGTGATAATGATTGAAATTATATATTTTCAATTTGAGTTCATATAACCGTAAACATATGCATATATTATACTTTTACACTATTATACTTATAGTTCTGCGATTGACACAGAACTATTCATTTTATTTAAAAATTATTCTTATCACTGCACATTAATTGAGTTTATAATGAAGTGAAAACTTCAATAATATAATATGTAGACAGTGTGGTACTCGCATAACACCAATTTGTTTGGCAGAGGTTCATGTTAAGTAAATATGGTATGTGATTCATTCCAGAGGAACTTAAGGGTGAAATATAGAAAATATATTAATATTTATATATATCATATTGTCAGTTCTTCCGTTTTTCAGTATTTGAATTGATAAAGAAATGGCTTTGAATATTTTTTCAAATGTTCTCATTTTTATCCCTCGAAAACAGACAGACTCTTTTATGTTGAAGCAGATATGTTATGTTGGATAATATTGGATTATTCAAATAAAGTTTTATATTATTCAACCCATAGGGAATATGTTTTCCGATATCTTTTTACTACCTAAAAGGTACTAACTTTACTACATTACACAAAACTTACATATATGTGAAAAATATAAAAACAGCTTAATTCTTATTAAACTTAGACTAGGTGCTCTCTAGTAATAACAAAATTTAAATTTATTAATAATATCAAGATATTTTGAAGTTACAAAACTGCTATAGACAAGTGTAGGCATTTCACCTGGACCCATGTTAAATACAACTTTCATACCGGTACCTACATCGTGTTTTTATACTTTCTTCCTCATCTCATTCCATATACCAAGTCTTGTCAACCTTTTGTGTGTTTGCTGTGAAATGGGCATTTGGTTACAGCAGTAGCAACAACAACAGATAATACAATAGAATCGTTGGCCTATTTCAGTTAACACTTTTATTTGTTAATATCTTAATTAAACTTAATTAACTGACGATTATAGTTAAGAATGAAATTTATAGACTAAGATTGCTGGAATTTTTTTGCTGGAGTTTCAATATTCGTAATGGAGGTTATTAATCTTTCAAGTCACTATACAATCAATACTTCAACTATTAGAACTTTGTGCCTTTTTTACATATTATAATCCTACTTTCTCAATAATTTCACAATTTAAATATTTTGTTGGTATCACCTTTGAGTAATATGCTAACATTTGCTTACGTGTCTGACGCTCTTCCTCTGTATATTGGAGTGCCTTGTTAACAGGTTATATTTTTCGTGCTTTTTCCTCATATCATTTTAACTAAAATTAACTTGTATCACCCTATAACAGGATTAAAGTAATGTTATATACGCTTAATATTATTGTCACAAACTCACCACCACTGCACCTAACAGTTCCTGTAAAGTAAATGCTTTTTATTCATGCATTTCATCACTCTCCAAGATGCCAACTATATAATCACCAAAAATCGATTCATCTCTCTGCCACTTGTTTAATTTTTCCAGTAATAATTTCTTTCAAATGATATATGTACGTCGTATTAATCTTTTTAATTGTTACTGATTAATTTTTTTTAACTTTTGGATCAGTTTTGTTGTTAAGTGCAACTGATTTCATTTTAAATTTACATTGTCAATTTATCTTATAAATTCATTGTAAGTTGATATTGTTAGATTATAAATAATTTACTTTACTTTTAAATTTAAGTAATTTCCTCCATTTACTTTATTTGTTTTTTAGTTGTCATTTGATAACTGTCATTTACAGTGGTGGCAATAAATATGTTCTTTGATATTGAAATGACATGTTTAATAGTGTATAGTGTACATAATATTATTCGGACAAAACACTTCCACATTAGGCTTTTAGAACAAAATCTTGTAAAATTTTTTCTTATATGAGGTTAGGATTATGTAAATTGAAATGGATTTAGTGCTAGACTTCAAAAAGAAATTAAAATAAGGCATTTTAAAACTGTTTATTTGGTCTGCAATCTCTTTCGCCCATATGGAAAGAATCCGTCTTTTCGAGATATATATGTTCTTTGTGTTTGGTTGAAACTTTTAAGAAAAAAAATGTATTTGAAACAAATGAAACTCTAAATTATTTGAGTTTATAGAATTTTTCTTTGATGTTGTGGTGCTTTTATGTATTTTTAACCATTATATATCATTCATATATATGGTTTATAAATTAATTTCTTTTAAGGTTTTTCAATCATTTTTGTAATTTATATGTAATTATTTTCCTTAAACTTTTACATTGTATAAAAATTATATGCACTTATTTCATTTACCGATATTGATTTAAACAACATTTGCTTTTAAATTCACTTCAATTACTACTTATTTATAAAATAAATTGTTTTATATCATAACAAAAAAATATGTTTTTAATTATTTAAATTTCTTTTCTTAATTTATGTTTAACTAAATTATATATATATATATATATGCATAAATTTTTAATTGATTCGTATTATTGTGTTTAAGATTTCTCCTCAAAACAAAATTTTTCTTATGAATTTTAAATTTAAAATCAAATTTTTTTTAATATAATAATAAAATTTGTAGGAATTGTACTGCTTATAAGATCTTTTCAAATGTGGACTCGGTTATCTTCTCCGTTACTCGCGGTCACTTTTTAAATACCTGTTCACCGTCTCGGTATTTCATTATTTTAACGGTGTATAATGCTGCCCTTATTCATATAGTCCAACTTTTTAGTATGGCAGATGATTGTTGAAATTATTATAAATGAGTGTTGGAACACCTATGCTCGATTAATTTCATCACACGTATTTCATTTATATGTTAATTTATTACCACTATTTAAACAAGGATATGTATTGTTTTTAATTGTTAAAAATCTTGAATCTTTTTATTTAATCTCCTTCAGTACCTTTCATTTACAATTTTAATTCACGAAAATTTACAAAAATAAAAAAAATCTTCACAGGCACAAAAAAATTTCTCTCGCACATATAAAAATCATAAAAGTCTTCGAACAACACTGCACTCGAACTTATATTTTCCGATATCTTGACAGTATCCAAAACACACCTTTTATACGACAGTTTATTCCGAGGTTTTAAAGGTACAGACGCGATCAGCACACTGGCCCATAAGGGCTATCGCGAAGACGGAACCTTTTAGGGCATTGACCTTAATCTTCCACTTACCGTAGTAACGTAGTAAATAAAGAGTCCTAAGTTAATTGTTAAGCTCAATGTACTTTCAACTGAGGAGGTTGGACCTCATGTAGATGAGACAATCATCTGCGTAGCAGATTTGCCTAATGCATTGTGAAGGAAGGGGTAGGTCAGCATTAAAAATATTTAAAAGGATGGGGTATTCGCTAGAAACAGCTATTACTCGAAACAGCTGTATGGTCAGCTAAAAATTCAATTAACTAAAAATTCCGTTTTTACAATTCACTACTGTTCGAAACCTCTCAGTTACATTTTATAATTTTTTACTTGTTATGCCATGATTTTAATTATAAAATAATTAATAATCAATTTAAAAATAAAATAATTTTGTTATAATTTGGTACTATTCAAAAACCTTTGCATTAGCAAAACAGTTTTCTTCGTAATTTTCGTCGTATTTATCTTTAAAAACAACATTAGTTTAATTTTGGAGAATCGCTCAATTTTATAAGAAACTTATAAATAAATTGTTCAATTGAAAATTAAAGGATAACTTCAAAATACCATATGAATTAAACGAAAAATTGCTTCATATTCGGTTATACTTTTTATAATAGAAAAGATTTTTACTTTCTACAATCCATAATAAGCGATGAAACTATTTTCCAGAATTGATAGAACCCTAGTTCAATGGACAATCAAATTTGCAACATTGGTGACTTTCCTTGTTCTAGTATTCTATTTTATTAAGAAAATATCCTAAGTAATGTCGTTCAGTTATATCTAAATGAGACATAAATATTGTTATATTGTATATATTGTATATAAATTTTAAAATACAAATATAGGTACATTTTTCCTTTGTAAATTAAATTGTTCTTTTTTATTTTCACAATCACTCTTCATTTGTCATTAGAGAGGTTGTAACATATTTTCGGCTTTATAAACATTTCTTCTTGGATAGGTGCATATTTGGTTAAACTTCCCATTAATATTACTTTCCATTTAAGTCTTTTTTATCTAAATTCGAAATTTTAAGCCCACATTTAAATGGATTAAAAATAATTTCCTTCTTTTTATCGCATACATTTTGTCAAATAAATTTCGATTTCATCCATGAGCTTTTTAACATCCATCGCACTAGTAATTCGTATGAAATGCGAAAAAAAAACATCAGATACAGAATCCGACAGGTCTAGTATTTTAGTGATGACATTGATTCCATATCGCATAATTTAATAGACCTAGTCAGCTGTAAGCAGTAAGCAATAAGCCGCGTGATGTCATGATATTCCAAATTGTATATGGTACAGTAACAGCTTTGGTAGGATTTACAAGCAACATTGTCTATAAGTATAAATTAATATTTTATTGACTTCTTTTTAATTAAAAATTAGTTTGAGTTTAAATAGTTAATGAAATTATTACAATCATGATTTTATATAGATACTTAGGTGTGGCTAGGTAGTAGCTTAGGTGAATAAAAAGGAGGGTAAATAATATAAAGAGATAGAATCTTTATAGTATACACATTAGACTGTTTTCACACCTATTTCTTATATTGTTTAGAGCACTATTTGTGCTCAGTATTCATTTATTATTCATTTAAATAATAAATAATGAGCCACATTATTTTTATTATTTAACAAGACTAATTCGGTATATACTTTGTGATAATGATTGAAATTATATATTTTCAATTTGAGTTCATATAACCGTAAACATATGCATATATTATACCTTTACACTATTATATTTATTGTTCTGCGATTGACACAGAACTATTCATTTTATTTAAAAATTATTCTTATCGTTGCACATTAATTGAGTTTATAATGAAGTGAAAACTTCAATAATATAATATGTAGACAGTGTGGTACCCGCATAACACCAATTTGTTTGGCAGAGGTTCATGTTAAGTAAATATGGTATGTGATTCATTGCAGAGGAACTTAAGGGTGAAATATAGAAAATATATTAATATTAATATATATCATATTGTCAGTTCTTCCGTTTTTCAGTATTTGAATTGATAAAGAAATGACTTTGAATATTTTTTCAAATGTTCTCATTTTTATCCCTCGAAAACAGACAGACTCTTTTATGTTGAAGCAGATATGTTATGTTGGATAATATCGGATTATTCAAATAAAGTTTTATATTATTCAACCCATAGGGAATATGTTTTCCGATATCTTTTTACTACCTAAAAGGTACTAAATTTACTATATTACACAAAACTTACATATATATGAAAAATATAAAAACGGCTAAATTCTTATTAAACTTAGACTAGGTGCTATTTCAGTTAACACTTTTATTTGTTAATTTCTTAAATAAACTTAATCAACTGACGATTATAGTTAACAATGAAATTTATAGACTAAGATTGCTGGAATTTTTTTGCTGGAGTTTCAATATTCGTAATGGAGGTTATTAATCTCTCAAGTCACTATACAATCAATACGTCAACTATTAGAACTTTGTGCCTTTTTTACATATTATAATCCTACTTTCTCAATAATTTCACAATTTAAATATTTTGTTGGTATCACCTTTGAGTAATGTGCTAACATTTGCTTACGTGTCTGACGCTCTTCCTCTGTATATTGGAGTGCCTTGTTAACAGGTTATATTTTTCGTGCTTTTTCCTCATATCATTTTAACTAAAATTAACTTGTATCACCCTATAACAGGATTAAAGTAATGTTATATACGCTTAATATTATTGTCACAAACTCACCACCACTGCACCTAACAGTTCCTGTAAAGTATCTGCTTTTTATTCATGCATTTCATCACTCTCCAAGATGCCAACTATATAATCACCAAAAATCGATTCATCTCTCTGCCACTTGTTTAATTTTTCCAGTAATAATTTCTTTCAAATGATATATGTACGTCGTATTAATCTTTTTAATTGTTACTGATTAATTTTTTTTAACTTTTGGATCTGTTTTGTTGTTAAGTGCAACTGATTTCATTTTAAATTTACATTGTCAGTTTATCTTATAAATTCATTGTAAGTTGATATTTTGTTAGATTATAAATAATTTACTTTACTTTTAAATTTAAGTAATTTCCTCCATTTACTTTATTTGTTTTTGAGTTGTCATTTGATAACTGTCATTTACAGTGGTGGCAATAAATATGTTCTTTGATATTGAAATGACATGTTTAATAGTGTATAGTGTACATAATATTATTCGGACAAAACACTTCCACATTAGGCTTTTAGAACAAAATCTTGTAAAATTTTTTCTTATATGAGGTTAGGATTATGTAAATTGAAATGGATTTAGTGCTAGACTTCAAAAAGAAATTAAAATAAGGCATTTTAAAACTGTTTATTTGGTCTGCAATCTCTTTCGCCCATATGGAAAGAATCCGTCTTTTCGAGATATATATGTTGT